CCTGCCACTGCTGTCGAGACCCAGTAAGGCACTGGTCCACACTCATGGTCGCTGGGGGCATTTGAACTCTGACTTCTGTGCACAGGTGCTTGGTATGGGAAGCTGTGTTTGTGAGAACTCTGTGTCATGAAGACAGACTCACTGGTAGGCTGAGGGGACAGCGGGACGTGGGCACATGGGCACAACAGGAGTATGACATCCTGTCCACTGAAATTCTCTTCTCTGAATGTGAAATGGCACGGAAGTATCGATGGGCCAAAGCCCAGGACATGGATGGAACCAGAAATTCAGGGCAAGATACAGGTGTTCCCTGAGACCAAGTGACATGTCCCAGAGATGAAGGCCGTGTGAGGACAGGTTCTGGCAAAGAAAGACGTCAAATCCGCCATCTTGTAGGAGTGTGGGTTCTGGCTTACAGCCTCAAGGGGCAAAAGATGGGTCCCTGATCTCAGACCAGCTGGTCCAGTCCTAACCATGACCAGTGAGACTGTGACACTCACAGCTGGTGGGTGACAGTACTGATCACCTGCTTACACTCAAGAAGTCTTCCAAAGTTATCTGTCACTTCCATCATCCCTTTAGTTCTAAACACACTTGTCCAATGAGTGTGAAATTTGACTACATGGTAAGTGAGCCGAACACAACACATAACCGTGTTTAGTCTAAGCCCGGCATTGGAGACCCAAGGCATTCATGGAGGATAAAGTCCAGAACGACAGATGAACGGATGAAACTACCTCGTGGACCCTTCCCACCACAGGTTCATCTATTTGAAGGAAAACAAACCGTAACATCCACCCTTGACATTGATGAGCCTCCATATTCCCAAGTGGGCAGAGGCTGCGGGAGGAAGTCAGGGAAGGCAGGGGCTCTGGGGACACTGACCTTCCTGAGCCTTGCTCACCATTGCACTGCACTGCACCTGCCTGCTCTCTGCCTCCCTGACTTTTCAGGGCAAAGTCAAGGCATATGAAGACCGCGGTCATCTCTGGGTCTTTAGCAGGACACAGGGTCTAACAGAGCAGTAAACACACAGAATAACGTCGACGTGATAATTCAAGCCGTATGCTTCACGTTTTACGTGTATGATTGATGTTAACTAAAAGCGAAATTCCATTTCAAGAAATCACAGCTGTCAACGAGCACTCACTCCACGTTTGCTTGTTTTAAAGAGTTCCAGGGCAGTAAAATATGGAACTCATTGTCCCTCAACCATTGCTCTTATGATCTTGCAATGCTGGGGAGCTTTTGATGGAAGCCACAGGAATATGTGCTTTGGATATGACCTGCTCCCCCTCGCCCTGCACCCAGCCTTCATTGATGTTTTCCGTTACAGCTCTTTCTTACTGAATGACCATGGAAGCATTTTAGAACAATGAGAGCATAGGAGCAGAAGCCTGATCACTGTCTCCAGAGGAAGGAGAGGGACAGGCGTTGGGAAACCCATGTCCTTCCCCAGTGTGACCAGGCGCAGACAGAACTAGTCAAGTCAGTTCCGCAGCAATGGGCACCATTCACGTATGGTGCCGTGGGGAGCAGGAGCGAGAGCCCCATGGAAGCTGGGGTGTGGGTTGTGCTTTAAGGTAGCGAATGGGGAGCAGCTGAAGGACAGTGTCTCTGCAGTGGGAGTATCTCGAGTGAAAGCATCTCAAGTGGGCCTAGAGCAGAGCGGCAAGGAGGTCACTCCTCCTGCTTTCCCTTCCCCGCATTTCAGGCCTTTCTTGGCCTCTCTTCCTCTCCAGGCTACCCACTGTCCCCTCACTGTGGCCCCTTTTGCTCCTTGATATCCTTCTTATGTTGGAAACTCCAATTTCCACAGGACACATCTCGTTTCCACCTAGAGGCAGGTGAACTCACCACGTGCAGGTCTTGCCAGGCCCCCTCTGCAGGCTCCGTGAAGGAGAGGTACACGGGCATGGAAGCTACACCAGGGAACCTGCATCTCCCCTGCTGATTTTACAGTGAGGAGGTTGTGCAGAGTGGGCCACCTGCCCAGTTCAGTCACTAGAGTGGGGGTCACACCGCATCCACACCTGGGGCAAGCCACAGAGGAGCAATGCAAGCTCCCCAGTGCAGCCAGCCAGGGTCCTGACATATCACACACTATTTTGGGTCAAAGAGGCTGGATTGTAATTCAAGTTCTAATCACATGAGTTTATAGAAGTCACCACAGCCATCAGCCAGGCTGCCCCTGACCTTCAGAGGCTCACATTGTAGGGGAGCCTGGTGTGTGACCCAGGACAGCCTGAACAGAGTGAGCAGGCAGGGGCACAAACCACAATGGCTGTCATTGCCACAGAGGCCACTGTGTACCCTATTGTGTTGAACACGGTCTCAGCCCATTAACCAACTTTCCAGATGGGTGGGGCTCCTCAGAGGCGAATGTGAATCTTTGCATTTGCCGTGGGCTGTGAAGACAGGCACGAATTGATAGGCGAGAAAGCTGACTGGGGAATCAGGATTAGTGCAGATAAAGGCTGAGATCGCATCACAGACCTGAGAGGCCCTGCTCCGTCAGAAAGGCCCCCTCAGAGCGGCTGCTCAGCGATAACATGGCTCCCGGGGACGCAGCTCCAATGTTGGTTCTTTACAAGAATGACTTATGCAGAAATTTCTCCTTTATTTCAAGAAATAGGATTTTTTTTTTCTTTTTAGCAACTGGAGACCAAAATCTTTTAACAATCACACACACCAAAGTCAAAATGAGCACTTTGTTACTTTCTCACTAGCAACGTGTTAGCTAAAGAAATAACTAAAGTTGACTTTCTCTATTGTCAGCCAAGTCTTCAAAGGAGCTATTGTTAAAGGAAATGAAAGAAAATATTCCAGAATTAGGTTTTGCTTAGAGCCTTAATTCACAAAATTTAAGACGGGAAATCCACCTCTGTGTGGCTCAGAGTTTCTGCATAGAGCTGCTATTAATTTGGAAATACATATCAGTTTCTCCTGTCATTTTATTAAAGATCTCCTCCCCTGCCTGTGTCTCATGGGACTCATACAGACGTCTGTCCACAAAGGGTCCCTCCGGGCCTCGAATCCCAGGGATGTGGGAAGGGTTGTGCCTCATATTTAATTCCAGGCAGCCAGTTCTGCTCACATGCTGTCTTGTCCCCTGCTCTTTACAGTGCACCCACACTGTGGACTGACTATGCACTGTAATCGACAACTGCCAAATTCCTGTGGATTAAAGTGACAAGGCAGGTTCCTACTTCACCCTGGCCGGGGCTGCAGGGCCCATCCTCCACCTGTGTGGCCCTCCATCCTGCCCCAGCCCAGGCCCGAAGCCAGCCTTGCTGTTACCCGTGTTCTCTCAGGGGAAGGAAAGAGATCCCTGAGGGCCACCTGGAAAAGGAAGAAGACCAACTCCCTGCCTTGAAACAAGGGGAGGATGGAGAGATCCGAGGGTCAGGAGAGGATGAGAGGTCCCCTTAGACTAGGGGAGAAAAGAGAGCAGCAAGGTGTTGGGGGAACAGGATGGAGAGGAGAGGCAGAGGGCGCTGCACCCTGGAGGTGTGAAATTGTCCTGGAGAAAAGGGAGGAGAGTGGAAGTGAGGTACTCAGGATCACTGGACCATCCCCTTGCCCCTGAAGTGAGTGACAAAACAGAGGGACACGATCGGACATCCTTTTTCAATTTGTCTGCTGCAGGGTTCCATGGAAATGTGTAAAGGAGAGGGAAAAGATATTTGTATCCTCCATCACAGAGGATCTAAGCACATTTGCAAGGGGGCCAATGAGTGACAAGACAGAGTGGTTGAGGGTAGGAGCCCAGGCAGCCATGATGGGCACCCGACAGGAGTCCAGACTGCTTGTGGGGACATGGCATGGGTCACTGGTCATCCCCAAGGACACCTGATGGGAAGAATGGAGGGAGCGGGAGGCAGATCCTGGAGGATCTGGAGGGGGAGCCTCTGAAGGCATGGCGAGTTCTCAGGGGTCTCTGCACAGGGACACTAAAGCCCAGTTCCATAAGGACACTGGAGAATGACAGGGACAGAGAGAGCTGGCAGGATCGGGTAAACGGGAAGGCTTGCCTAGGAGGACAGGTGAGTGAGTGGGGCATCTTGCTGTGAGGAGTACTGGAACAGCTGGCGGGTCCCCGAGAGCTACTTAAAAGGAGGGTGGAAGGCAGGGGAGGGGCGTCATGGAGCAGGACCACTGACCTCCAGGCTGCAATCTGGGTGCCTGTCATCCTGTAAGGTGACATAAATGCTCATTTCCCAGAGGGACTGAAATCCAGGAATGCAGAACAACTTGCCTGAGATCCCAAACTAGTGACCCTCCCCCGCTCAAAGGACTTGGCAGTTCCCACCATCTGTGTCTTGAAAATTGCATCGTCACTTACCCCCCCTTGGAGCTCAGTGCACAGGGGTGGAGCCCTGGTATGCACCATATTGCTGCTCTAGAAATGGGGAAAATGCTCCAGAAAAGAAAATCTTACAAGTGCAGAAGGGAAAGAAAGGCAGAAGGTTGGCAGGGAGCCCTTAAAGGTAAATCAACGAGGTGACCAGAGAAGTTTATGACTGGTCCCCCTTGCTATCAGCACATGTGGGTCTGACTCCAAAGACAAGCTGCCCAAAGGAAAATGCTTTAATTGATTGGAAACACATCTGATTTATAATTAAATAAGAGTGTGTTGGGCTCACTGCCAACGGTATTAATCTACAGGGCTTCCCACACCCTAAAGGTAAGCAGCTGGGGCTCTTTATAAGATCTTCCTCTCCAGGTTTTATTTAAATGATTTTCCTTTTAATAGTCAATCTGCATTTCATCAGGACCAAGCACCGTTCTGCGACTCCCTCCACGGATGGACACAGACTCTGCAAAGCTCTGCTGCTCAGCAGCAGCAGCAGGAAGGTAAGGTCCGCATCTCCTTTACATCTACAGAACCTGAAAAGTGGCACCCATTGTGGGATTGCTAAGTGGCAGTCCCTTGTCACAGTCAGAATATGAAAAGAGCTTTCTTGATGCAGAGATGTGACTCAGCCGGGGTGTAAGCTCACTGAGTGGGGCGTGCTCTACCCTCATCCCAGGGAGCTCTTTATTGGCTGTGAGCGTTCAGGTGTGGACTGTGCTTTGGAGAACCTGAGGTTTTTGCAATGGTGGCCTTTGAAGATTAATTTAACAGCGTGACGTATGACATCTAGAAGTCTCTCCTGTGTAGCTACGCTGGCGTGTGGTTTCTCAAACTTAACACAGGAAAACAGTAGTGGAATAACAGGGGCGTTTATTCAAATGAAAACTCAAAACACGAGAGCCTCGCAGGGCCCGTAGAGGAGGCAACGCGAGGGGCAAGCTCCAGGAGGTGCTGGTTTGGGGAACAGGAACAAAAGGTGCAATTGTTCAAGGAACTGTTCAAGGAATAGCCAAGAAACGCGGGTTCTTTCTGAGGTCAGAGTGTGCGGTGATGCACTGAGCCTGGGCGAGGAGTGACCCATTCCTTCTCCTCACTGCACTGAGCAGGCAGCTACTCTCTGGAAAGCACCCAATAATCTTCCGTTTTGGGTGTTAGTGTTTTCTCTTCTCCGCCCGTCTTGGTAATCGCAGTTAACAACAGGACGTAACTTAATGCTCACTACAGTTTGGCTGTGGACGTCCCATCCCTCAAAGGCCATGTGCTGAAGGCTCGAACCCAAGGTGGCACTACAGGGAGGGGGTGGGGCCCACTCCTGTCATCACCATCTGTCCTCACATGAAGCCACAGCAAGGGGCTGCTCAACCTTGGGCTTCCCACCTCCACACCTGTGAGCTAGTAAACCTCTCTCAGAAGGGTGACACCTCCAGCATACCTTGCAGTGAGTCGAAGATGACTGGTGAAGCTCCGATCTTTTATTTCATAGACATATTTCCCAAATCTGTCTCTTTGGAAAGGTTAAAAATAAGTGTAACTAAGTCCAGGGTGAGGAGAGGAAGTGTGGCGCATGCACCGGGAAGAAGCCTGTGCTACACGAAGTCTTCACGGAGTAGACCTCACTTCCTCCCACCCATTCAGTTTGTGGGAGCCTCTTTCATCGTTAGCTCGTGGTACAGGGATCAAAATGTTTAAGGTGTCCACTTCCAGGACTTGTGGACAGTAGCCCCAAACATGCCCTGTTTCTGGTTCAGTCCGAATTAGTTAACAGGAGGGTCAGTGAGGCTGCAGAGAGAGGCCTCCTGGTATGGGAGGCTGTCAGAAGAGACGCAGTCCACTTTACTTGCTCCCTTTCCACAGCTGGAGAAGTTGTCTAAGGAAAGGCTCAGGTCAGCATCAGAAAGCCCAGAAGCTGAGACACCACATCAGAGGCGATGAGCCTGTGAAGGCTTCGCTCCTGGACCCATGTGAGTCCTGAAAGGCCAGAACTAGCTGGCATTGCCATTTCCTCTGACAAAAAAAAATGTCTGCCATGCCACCAACCCAACCCCATCTCAAAATACATTTATTTTATTTCATTTTTAGAAATATATTTTCTTTCATTATAACAAGACTCAGTTCATAAAATTCTTTACCAAATTAAAAGACCATTTTCGTACGTGGAAAAGTAAATGGTATAGCATACTCTAAATGGTAAAACTTAGGAGACCATGGGTATGTAAATATGAACTGGAACGTCTCGAGCCTGCCCACGGCTCACTTTCAAGATTTGTCTTCTTAGCTAGTAACACATACTGAAAAGGGAGGATCAAGTCAGGCTGACTTGGAAAAAAAGTCCATCACTTGCAACAAAGAAGGAATATATTTATTGAGCATGACTTCAGCCTTAACTGGAGGAAACACAACATTTGTTCTGAAGTTAAAAAACTAAAGGAAGATATATGAAAGGCTATCTGCTACATAACTCACACGAACTGAATTAACTAAGGGCTTTCTCAGACTTAGCAAGTACACGTTCGGTTGTCTGGAAATGGGCAGGAAAGAAGGCACTTGTATTCTACAAAATATATAAGAAGGGATAAAAATCACTTGGTGTTGGAAGCACCATTCATGAACAGCGATCAAGGCAAACATCACTGATGTCTGCCGAGCTGCCCTCTCCCCTTCTGCCCACATCAGAACCCCCTCTTGTCCTGATCAGCAAGTGACCAGCTAAGATGCTGAGCCAAGATGCCAAGAAAAGGCTCTGGTGCCAAAAAAGTTCAGCAGGCTTCTATTGCCTGGGGCTCAGGAAGAGAACAAAAGCATAAAATGTGCCACATCTGACCTTCTTTCTGCTTTTGCCCTCTGCCCTTCCTCCTGTGGGGTCTTGGGGAATGGAACACAGGTGCCCTGGTGCAGAGCTGGGACGGAGCCTCCCTCAGAAGACAGGGGAACCCAGTGGCTGGTGAGCACCTGGAGCTTCTGAGCCACTGGCTGCCTCAGCCCTAGAGTCTGGTTCCCACCGAGAAGAATAACTCCATTGTGCCTTGTCTGGTGTGATTTGGTTTTCTGACTTCTTTCCATATAAACAAAGTCAATTCCTAACCAACAGAGGAGCCAGAACAAAATTCCCTTATCCAAGGTGGGAGACTTCCTTCCCACGGGATGTTAAAACCTGCACTTGTAGCCTGCTGCGTATCACTCAGATCTTTGGGTTCAGGTTGCTCAGTTCTTTCCACTCTTACTGGGAAATTGGAATCCTTTGGTCATACACCTCACTGGAGGATCTGAGTTCATGTGCCAGCTGGTGAATACCTGTTATGCTCTGTATGGGGGCCCCGACTTTACTTACAGTGACTCTCAAAGGGAGGTATCACACCCACCTTTTTAGAAAGGTGGTGGTCTCTGCTGGGGTTGCATTGTTGGTAACTGTGAAGCCTAAGCTCCATGGGTTTCGCCCCATGGCCACTCCGCTACAACCCTGGCAAGCAGAGCACTGTGACTACGGCATTCGATGGACACTGGATACAGACCGGAGCCTAAGGGACAAGGCTTCATTAACTTGCATTTCCTGCCTGTGACTTGCTGTGACACGCGATGGACTGTGGGCCACAGAGACAAGCAGACCATAGCTGTGGCTTGAGAGGTTCTTCTTGTCATCTCAGAGGAAACAGCCTGGAGCAGACCTGTGTCCATCATGGGGCCTAGAGCCAAGTCCAGCAGAGCCCTGACTAGCTGACCATTCCAGACAACACACAGAGGCAAGAACAAGAATTAATGAGTGTTACTGTGGACTACTGAGTTTTTGGGTGGCTTGTTCATAGCGTTATGAAAGAAGATAGCTAACAGCACATTTTAGAATGAGGAAATACTAAAAATGGCTAAGTATACAATTAGTCAAGATTGCTTTCAAATTTTGGTCTATATGATGGTAGTGTGGTTCTATATAAGAGTGTTTGCTCCTCACCACTGACACTGGCATCATCACTACCTACTATCATCTCCCTCATCACCATAATCACCGTATCATCACCATCACTACCACCACGGCCACCACTGTCACCACAACCATCAGCATTACCCTTGTGCAATCACCACTACCATAATCTTCACTGTTTCCACCATCATTAACCTGACACAATCACCTTCACAATACTCGTTATCACATCACTACCGTCACCATCACTACTTCCACCCTCACTATAATCGCCACCACCACCACCATCATCACAGTATCCTGAATTTAGCCTTTACACATTTTTACTGTCTTTTTGGCATAGCTTTGCTGCTTGCATGATTTAGTTTTTCACTTGGAAGTTTATGATGTTTGCCATTTCTGTAGTTTGATTTCACAAAAGCTGACACCTTTCACCTTGACAAAGTAAACAAAACTCCAGAGGTGACATTCATGTACATGAATGAGTCGTACAGTGTGCTTCCAAAACCCTCCAGGTAGGTTTTTGACAAGGATTCAGGAGTCTTCAAACATGAGGAGAGTGGTGGGACATTCTGGGGGAGGAGGGAGGCATCCATCACTAAGAGCAACTCGCTCGGTGCTTAAGGAAAACACACTTCTGCTTTACATTTGCAATCTTAAAGCACTGCAATAAGAACCATGTGTGGGCCCACCTTGTCATTCTGCTCCCTACCTTGTCCAAGTTCTTCCAGCTCCCTGGACACTGTCCTCTCTTGCCTGCTTTAGAACCCGGTCCAAGCTGTGCCCCCGCTGGGGCCATTCTGTCTCCCTTAGCTCTTTCCACTGGAAAAAGTCTGCACTGCATGCCTGAGCATAATCAATGCTCAGACTGAGTTTTAAGGACATCCCTGTCTGCTGAGTTGAGAGGACACAGTGGGGAGCAGTGGGTGGGAAGCTGACCAGGACGGAGTGGAGATTCCTGAAGGAAGTCTACCCGTTGAAGAAAGGACCCCAGTGAAACTCAGTAAGAGGCCAACCAAGGATGGGCATAGGCGATGGAAGCTGGGTTTGGAAAAAGTGGATGTTACCCCTGGGGTTCTGGTTGCGGGACTCAGGGAGCAGGATTGACTTCAATCAAAACATGAGCACCTTGTACTCCTTGTGCAGTGCCTCCATGGTGTCACAGCAGGAGCAGGACTGGGCAGGGTGAGGCCTTACAGGAGACAAGGATAGGTGCATTTCTAGCCACCCTGTGGACCAGGCTGGAGCACTTGTGCACATTAACCATGGTGTGTGCCTACGTCCCTGCCTTACAGAGGAGGCCCAGGTGCTGAAAGGTTAGGGGACATGTCCCAAGTCACACAGCCTCACAAGGCAGATCCAGGACTCAAATCCAAATCCACTCTGGCCCAGAGTCCTTGAGTTACTTCCTCAGTAGCAGACACCTTTAAAATTAAGCAGTTATAAAACTCTGCAAAGAAAAGACTAAACACGGTTTTGATAGCATATTTTAATCTAAGAAAAATGATTAAACTCAAAGTTAGAAATACAGAAGGTTATCCAAAACATTTAGGATTGTGACTGTTTCTTAGACAGTGTTGACATGGGCTTGACTTGGATCAGGGCTCCAAACGCTTGGGTGTCACCTTTGCACAGTTTAGGTCAGCGAAGGCTGGTGAAACAGCTATACACAGACCCACAGACATCACTGAACAGGCCATGTTGTGAGACTGGAGGCCAGGAAGATTTTTCTACCCAAAAGTCTGCACCGCCCCCAGCTGTCACCTGTTCTCCAGATGGGTCCTTGGGCCAGTAGGCACAGGCTGATCTGGGCTCAGGTCTAAGGGCGGCAGCAACCAGCCATACACACAGGTCGGTCTGCGGCCCACAGTGTGGACATCCAGCTCCCACCCCTCCTCTCACAAGAACCTTAGATGAGCCCCATCAGCAAGTCCTTGTGCCCTGGGGATGCTGGCAGAGAAGGGAACCACAGAGTCCTCCTCGCCACACCCTCAGCACAGTACAGCATGACTGTGCCTGGCAGAGACAGTCTGTGATGTGTGCACGGGGTGGCTTTCCCTTCCGGTGGACCCTCAGCTGGCCACAGCAGGACCGGAAGGCCCGGTGGAGTAGAGAAACAGTCGGACCTGGTGCTGAGCCGGCAGGATTGTGTTTGTCCACTGGGATTAGGCTTAGGTTCTGAAGCAGGGCTCTGCGGGTTGCCGGCCACGGCAGGAGCAACACTCTGGAGATTTAATGGCATGATTAATCCAAGCCCAAAACTCAAACAGAAGCTTGCAATGGGAACACAAAGATAGTGTGAACAGTCTTTCCTACCAGGACACCACGTGCAGTTAGGCAGGCCTTAGTGGCCGAATGACCTGTGGTGTGAGTGAGACCTTCACAATGAAAAACAAAACAAACGAACACAAAATCCCAAAGAATCAGGCCGACTGTGCACGTTAACTTCGCGGCATTACAAACTCCTACAGAAACGCAGAGCTTCAACGGGCGCCAAAAGCGCTGGGAGCCAGTGGACTGCTGGGTGCTGCGCTGCGGGGACACAGAGGACTGAACCAGGAGCCTCGTGCAGGCACCGACTGCTGACCGTGCGGACAGAGAGGTGAAGCTTAAATGCACGTGAAACCCAGCTCCCAGCTCTGAAGGTCAAGGAAGGGCACATACATTGTATGTGATTAATTTTGTGAAGCCAGCCTTCCATTTCACAGATCAAAACAGTCTGTTTAAATAGCTCCTTTTACAAAGTGAATTTACATTTAAAGTACAAAGTGCAAATACGATATGCTTTCATTTCGTTTTTTAATTGCGCTTTGGTGAGGGAGAATTCCCACGTGTCTAGAGACTGTCTCAGATATGGGAGCCGTTCATCCTTGCTTCCTTGGCTGAAACAAAACACAGACAGAGAAATCATGTGCAGCCCTCATCTGTGAAGACCAAGGCTGCTCTCCCATGGCCCAATCACCTCCTCTGGTTACTGGGGGGAGAGAGCAGTACTGAAAAATGGACAAGCAACCCAATCATGAAAAAAATCAACACAAGAAAGGGGCTGGCGGAGTGGTTCACATTTAGGCCCTGAGTTCAAAGCCCAGTACCACAAAAAAAAAGAAAGGACAGTGTCCCAGAGGTAAGAATTAGTGGGGACACTTTGGACACTGTCTTCTTCACACTCTCGTCCTTGAAATGATCAGGAATATCAGCAGAAATATATCTACCAGTTGGGAAAATTAGCATTCACCTCAAATATCTTAAATGAACTATGATGAATCAACTATTCTACAGAATCTCCTCCATCTTGGGTTCATCACACAAAAACAGCTTTTTTGGCTCAGATTTGATAAAGGCATAGTCAATTTTAAATTTTCCTCTTTTTCACCTCTATTCACTGTTCTCCCCAAGAAGAAAAGTTTGCAGAGTGGGTCTCTTGTTGTAATTCAGCACACTGACTTCAGCCAAAAGTAATTTAGAATGGGATGGAGAGCAATGTCCAACTGCCTGGACTTCTAAGCACCGCAAACCCTACAGGTTGACCCACCCCTGTGTTTTGTTATTTGAAATAACTTTAAATTTCAGGTTGTTTGGGAACTGTCTTATTCCCCTTGATAAAGATCTGAGGTGGGAACGAAACTCCTCCACCATATTCTGTTTAACTGGTTATGGATAACAGAATTCATCGACAGTGTGCCAGGTGCGACACCAGTCAGAGCTGCCGCAGGAGAAGAGGGCCCGTATTAGCCTGTGTCATCCATGCCAGTCTGTGTCAGCACATGTCAACCCATGTCAGCACAGCTCTGAACACTTCTGAGCAAGAGAGGAGCCGCAGTTCCTTGGGTTTTGGTGAAATGTCATGCTTCTTTCTATCATCCCTGTGTTTGATGTCTGGGCAGTGGTGATTCACACGGCAACAGATCTTGGTGGTTGGTGCTATTTTATTCTTCAAAGAAATATTCATTGCCTTCAATTAGGATGTCATGTGCAGGATGCAGCTGGCCTGCCCCTTGTGCCAGGACCATGGTGGCTGCTGACAGCCCTCACTGTAATGACCCGGAATCAGTGTACACCCTCAGGTGCTGAGGGAAAGGTGGAGAAAATGTGCTAGTTCATTTTCCTGGAAAAAGCTGAAAGTGAGGCTTGTGCATTGAGTCTACTTAAGACTGAGGGGAGCACACGTGTGCCATAATTGCCTTTATCAAATGAAAACAGACCTTTGGATGTCTTTGGAACACAGCTGGGATAATTGTTTTCAGACCAGCCCTTTTTTCAAGTGTACATGATTTGCAGTGGGATTTGAAAAGTTAAAACCATAAACATTTACTAAACAAAGGAAAACGAATTGCACATCTTTGTTAATGAAATGGTTTTAAATTATATCCAAGGTGTGTGCTGGAGGTCTCCACTTAAAACCCACAATAAACACAGGGCTTTGATTAGGGAATGTCAGCCTGACATCAAGCAGGTGCAGGAAAAGGAACTAACAAATCTACAGAGTCATAAAGACAGCGGGCTCGCTCTGGCTTTGAGGGAGGGGCGGCAACCCACTCATGCTTGTCTCCATTCAGTGAGGCCTGGACACAGCTGTGTCTTCTAATTTGAGTAGCAGTGATGTGGATTCAGGAAACAAACAAAACCCCCTGGGGACCGAGCTCTTATTGTGATAGCTCTCAAGGAGAAAGGGACAGTCAATTCACAGGCACCCTGAGTGCCTCCTGACCCTGCCACCTCCGCAGATACCCACACAATCACAAAAACAGCCACTTCCAAAAAACGGAATAAAAAATTCTTCTTAAAAATAATAAAATACTTGAAGTTTCAGGTAATTAAAAAGTGAGGTCAAAATCTTAAATTCAACAAGTTGTTGAATTCTGGCAGAATTTCGAAGGCTCCTTTGCTCGTTCACATAGGTGCCTCTCCTGGGCCTTGTCTTCTCTGGGAAAGTACTGTCCATGGCAAACCTACGTGACCTCGGGTTTCTACCGCCTATAAATTTTTGAGGTTAACACAGAGACACACTTACCTGCCTATTAGAAGTGCTTTCAGCATTACCTCTGGGAGCTAGCAGGGAAAAAAAGACATTATTACAATCAAATACTCTTCAGCTGATGAAAGGTTCAATACAATTTTGGGAAGGCCTCAATTGGCTGGCTTATTTATGGGGACACAAACACACATACATACCATAAGCATAGATTAGAAGCAGTGGATCACAAAAGCCATTCTATACACATTTTCCAACAATACAGATATTCTAGTCCAATGGTAGAAGAATATTTTGTTTTATCTCAAATCAGGAGGGTAAGTCCACTAATCACAGAGAACATCCTTTCAGAACTTTCCTCCACGTTCCCCAGGGGAGAACCCCAAGCCACACATCAGCACACATTCTTTGAAATCTTTTTATTTTATATAAAATCATGAAAAATTCACCTTTGGCACAGAATACCATTTCCCCAGATCTTTATGTAAAATCGGAGCTGGAGGGAGATGTGCTGTTTGTCTGTGACCATGCCACCAGCCCCTGACAGGACACAGGGGTTCTGTAGGGGTCTCCTTCCTGCTCTTGGTCCCACACCCCCCTCCTGCATCTCCATGGAAATGTCTGGAGACCCCCACCTCTTTCCATCCCATCAGTTCTGCTCATGCGCTCCCACATGGCAGCCATCCTCCCTTTGTCCTGGGCTCCAGGGTGACTGCACAGCCCTGCCCTCCTTTCAGGTTGCCCCCTCAGATCTTCTGTACCCTTTCTCTTCCTCCCTGACCAGTGGAAATCACTGTCCCCAGTGGATGTAGGCCTTGCTCTTCCTCTCTGCCCCACTCACTGAAGGCTCAGTTGGCCTCGTGGCTTTAAATGGATATCTTTACCCTGGTGGCTCCCAGGTGCATGTCCCCAGAGTCTCCTTTCCCCTCTCAGACTAGATTCTTAGGTCTATTTACACTCCACCTTCCCTTTAAAGCCTTCCAATACTCATCTTCCTTTCCAAGCCCTGCCGCTCAGGGCAAATCATCAGAGTTGCCATAGTCCCTGCTGTCATCTACCACCCGACAACACTTGCCTTGGCTCTACCGTTAAACTCTGTCCTGAGTTTGACTTCCCAGTTCCCTGGACTCGTGTGCTGTACATACCACCTGCCTCAGTCACAGGGACCCTGCGGACCTTCTGCAGGCCTCACTCAGCCTCCCCACATGATATGACACCTGGGGAAATGTTAAACGTGGTTATGCTCCTCCTGCCCACCCTTCAACAGGCTCTTGTAGGGCATTGGCCAGAGTCTGCTGGACAATGTCAAAGTCAGTGCACTCCTCCCTCCTCTCTCTGTTACGATGCCTGTCCCTCTCAGCACCCACTCAATACCCACCCACACCTGCTCTCCCCTGTGGCTTCACAGGAAACCACTGGCTCTCTTTCCCACTTCTGCCAAGCTCAGCCCAACAGCACCTCCCTCCTGCCCCTCCTTGCTCTAAAATGCCAGCCCTGACCTCTGTCCCTGACATTTCCTCAGCAGCCTCCTGCCACACCACGAGTGTCTTATCTAGCTGATTCTTGCTCCCTCACTAACACAGATGCTCTGGGATGTGGTTTGTGTCTGTTTTATTGACTGTTATTTTGGCAATGTCCAGAACAGGGGCATTCAATAATCAGCTTTCAAATGAACCAACAGATGAAACACAGCAGCGTTTGCCATCCCAAGTTCCTCAATGAATTGCTGGTTTCTGTCTACTTAATAAAACATACGGAGTAAGAAAAAAATTATTCTATTTTCAAACTCTACCTTATATTGCAATGTTAAGGCAAACAGAAAACACTGTGAAAAACTATTAAAAAATTTAAAACTATTTAAAACTATTAAAAAATTTATCAAACTGCCACAATATTAAGCAGAAAGTTTGTTTCATTTGTAGGTTTTAATGTTATAAGTATATCGATAATTGCTGCCACTTTTCTTTCTTATTTTGCCAGATATTACTATTTTAGAGAAAAAATAAGCATTTTGGCCAGTGATTCAAATTTCAGGCAACCAGAGTGATACTTTCAATCTATTCTAAGCCAATTTGGCTATTTAACAGGAGCCATTTTTCGATAGTTTGTTTTATGATTAATGTCAATTGCCCAGCTAGTTAGAGGTGGCTGTAAAGATGAGTTGCAGTAAGAAAAGTTTAATATTCTCAAATGTAAGAAAAAAAAAACTTGCTATATCAATTAAAAGAATATAAATTTCATTAATGACACCTGGCAGAATATTACATTCAAAATACAGTAAGGGGAAAATTCTGTAAAATACATGAAGGGCAGGAAAATAATGTCATTAATTAAGCTTAATGGAACAGAAAATAAATTATCAAAATAAATGTGCAGCAATAAAACAGATTTCTGGGAGACTATGAGGGAGAAGGAGAAGCGTGTGTTACCGCCACCATGAAGGTCAGGAGCACGGAGAGCTGTGCCATCTGGCATTGGACAGCACTGATTGATCCCAGGTGCTCAGCAAAGCAAACTCTGCTGTGGGGAAATTGGCCTAAAAGATTGCAGCCAGCAGGATGATCTGGTTGAAAAGATAATTTGGTCAGAAATGAGTATTTCCTAATTGCTGAGGTTTCATGCAATGGTTATTTTAGATAATTATGAAATCATGCTATAATCTTTTCTGAATTTTTCCTGAAGTCTTTATAAACATGTCCTTTCTTGGTCTTACAACGTGTTGATCACTTTGAGATAATTTTTATAATAATAAAAATTTAGCTCATGCTTCCCAGCACATCATAGGTGCAATTATTTCATTGCAATGTCTTTTTAATTGCTTAAATTCAGTGTTTAATTTAGAAAGTAGATGTACTAGGATCCGACTTTACAGAGACAGTCACAGTGTGTGTGCACAGATAGATACATGTAGAGAAATACTTTTTAAAAATGAGAACAGAGGGTCGTATGTCCTGCTCTTCACTCGATTTGTCATTTTTTAGAATGAAAAGGTACATCACTGAATAGTTAGCACAAATACGGGAAAGAAAAATCTCGTAACAGTTTGGATATTGAGTGTCCCAACCAATCCATCCCTGAATAATGAGGTTTCTCTGACTTCTATTTCAGACTTCTATTTCACAGGATAGGAAAAAAATAACTTGTAATAAATTGAGGGGGAAAGTAGACAAAAACACTTCGAAAACTCTGTAAGCAAATGAAAAGGTCATGAGAGATGCCCAGGGCTCATTTTTGATCAAATTTCCAATTTTTCCAAATCTTATCTTTTTTGGGCTGTTGGGGAAGAGCATTTTGTTTCTGGTAAATAATAAGGTAGTAAAAGTTAGATGTGTCCATTTATTCAAAAGGACCTACAGAAGACAACTTGCAATTCTGCCGTAATTTAAATTGTTCTAATATTTAAATTCCACTGTCCATGCTCCTCCTGCATGGAGCGGGACTCTATGTTCAGCCCCACGGGAGCGGGTAGACAGCTGGTACATGCTCAGGCTTGGGCCACGGCCTGCACCACCTCCACACACCCGCTCCACCTAAGTCGTGTGGCCTCTCAGCCTCCCTGCACGCTCCAGGGCCTATGGAGTGAATGCAGCCTTCATGCAGACGTGTGTGTCTCTGAGCCAGCTGGAGTCTGTGGCTACTTGTTTTTACAGGATGAGAAAGGGAAGGTAGCCAGCCTGTGAATGTGTGAGGTTTCCATCGATCAGCACTGCAGTAACAAGACTCTCCCATGGCCAGTGAGGACTCCTTGTACCCTTCATAAGCCGTCTCTACTCAGCCTGACCCGGAATGACATGGCACAGTCTTGGGAAGGATCTATTGTCTACTGTCTCCCCAGTGTACGTTACCCATAACAGGTGTTACCACCAACCTCCCAAGTAGTCTTCTGAGGAACTCAACTCATCATGAAGAGTCTATATTACTGTATCTGAGTGCAACCAAGGGCCAATTCTCTTGAACCCAGAGTCTTGGGGTCCCACACCTAGCCAGGTCAGGTGATCCCATCCAAGACCTCTACTGTCCCTTTCCCAGGAAAGAGTAAGGACAGAGCATGTGTAGGAAGACCAGCCTCCTGCCTTGTTTCCTCCACAAAGGATACAGTTGCCAAGTGGCTTTCAGAACCCTTGTTCTGAAGCAGATCATTCTTCTGGTGTTCCTGGGAACCATTGTGCCACTGTGGTTCATGCTCTGACCAGATGGATGAACAGTGTTTGAACTTGAGATGTCCACGGGTACCTGTGGACACTGCAGTGTCTTTGAGATGCCTGCAGTGGTGTCAGGCTCTTCTCTCCCCTGTCTGCTGAGCTGGACTCAGATCCTGCATGCACCAGGACCTTCCCCACTCCTCAGCCAGAGATCGTGCCTTCTTCTCAAGACATAGCATTTGTCACAAACCCCTATTCCTTTGTCACATTGCATTTTAGTACTTTTTCTTCCCCACAGATTATGAACTCTTTGAAATCAGAGCCTCTCTCCATCCCTTAATCCATCAGATATCAGCATCTCTGATAAATGAATGAATGACTAGAACCATCTTAAGAACATGGCAACTCCAGAGCCGACTGCACTCCACTGGTATCACAAGGAAGCCTGCAGACAATGACATCAGGGACCTTTGCTCCTGTCTGTGTCCATCTGCCTGTGGTGCAGAAGCCTTTGTTTCTGAGCCTGGCCACAGAGAGCAGCGCACAAGCTGGCCGATGACAGTTCACAGGAGCCAGCAGAGACTATAGGCTCCTAAACCCCACCGAATCCTCACTTAGAAACCCACAGACTGCCTGGATGGACACTTCTGAAGATGTCCAGGCCCCATTATGGCCTGGATGGTGGCAGCCTGAGTCCCACCTTACAGGTGGACAGGATGGGAGGGCCATGGTGTCTTCGGGGTCAAGTGGCAGGCAGCGTGTTAGAAGAACACCTTCATCAGTGCTGCGGAAATCATCTTGACTCTACTCCAGGGGACCCTAATACTTTCCAAGTTCTGCCACAGTGATCGCAGCGCTGGGCCACATACTCTATCTGACCCCTGCCATTGCCCAGCCCCCCCTTGTCCCCTACAGAGCCTCTATGTTGACTTCAGGTGAACTCGAGAAGCGTGTGGACCACCGTGTCCGGGCAGAGCAGGTGTCTGCATTGCTCCCCTGGGATCCTCAGGTTTCCAAATCCAGCCCTGCCTTGGGCTTTGTTTCTAATATGGCAATGGGTCACAGTATCCTGGGATGCTGGGCCACGCCAACATCAAGGAAAAAGCAAAGCACAGATGGAGGAGACACCCTCAGTCCCAGGGGTCAAGAGCAAGGCCAGGTGGTGTCAGGAGAGAAGAGTCAAGAAGCCAATGCTACCCAGGTGGAAGCAGGGCATCCATCATACACCAGCCACAGCCAAGGAGGGGCCTGGTGGGCTGAAGTGACCCGTGTGGAGTAGGGGACCTGATAGCAAGCACCACCTAGGACACTGGATGATCTCCTAACCCTCGCCGTGTGTGGCAGCAGCCAGGGGAGACTGGAACCACAGTGCCAGGTGACCACGTGTCCTTGCACACCCTGGTCTACTGTGGGGCCACAGTGACATCTCCTGCTGGCTTCGCCATGCCAGGATGGTAGCAGGATAAGATGAAGCCTGGAGCTGCACAGCAGGGTCGGTTATGAGCCCTTTGCAGCCCATGCTGCAGTGACATGCTGTGTCACTGGTCCTTTCTGAGACAGGACCTGCTGAGTTCACACTTTGAAGCTCATGGGTCAGGACTGGTTCCCTGTATTTTTCATAGTCTTGTTCAAGGTTAGCTCCTCTCACTTGGGCCAGAGTCTTGATAGGCACAGAAGGAGTGAAATTATAAAGGGGTTTCTCTATCCTGCCCCTCAGGACAGCAGCAGGGCAGGCCTGCCTGGAGCCCCACTTTCCTATTCAGGGCTACAGAGATGGTAGACAGCCATCTTCAAACAAAGCTGCTCTTTTCCAGAACTGACTTTTTGCAGAGAAGTTGTACGAGGTACTTCCCAATGATGGTGGGCTAGCCTGGACCCTACTCCAGTTACATATTGTTGAGTGACTCTCACACACACAGAGTGAATGGCACATCACTGCCGTCCAGGTGATCCACCTGGCGTCCACTGCCAGCTCTGCTCAGCTCAGCTCAGCTCAGAGGCTGACTTCACAGCAGAGCTTCGCAAACAAGGGACGCAGAACACAGTGCACTCTGGCTAGAAACGTTTGCTCAAGGTTGGTGGCCTTTCCTAGTATGTTACAAGGCTGATCACAGAATCCCAAGATGGCATGTCAGTGATGGAAGATAGTTGTCACCCTACCCTCACTGTATGAGGTCCACACCCTCACTGTATGGATGAGGAAGCCCCACCCCCTCTAAGTGGCTTTCCTGCCCACCCGTGTGGCCTGCAGTGTGGGCACCTGAGGCTCACACCGGCTTTCTCATGTGTGTGATGTCTCAGAACTTCAGAACATTGGGCTCTAACTTCCTGGGATCTCCATCTTCCTCTCACAGCTGGTGCCTTAGGCCAGGCCCTCAGAGAAAGACATTCATCACAACAGCTAAAGCCGCTAGACAACTGGTCTGATAACAGCAATCATTTCACTGCTTATAAACTGGCCTGAACATTTGTTTGAAGTTTATGGACCGTGCTGGTGCTGGTGATTTATTTCCAACAGTTCCCAGATTTGTACTTCAAAAGCATGAGAAGGTAGAACATGTCTGGAAACTGGTTACCACACTCTGAACAATAAAAGGCTCAGCTTCAGAGCAACACTCAGTTGTGCTCTTACAACCTGGCTTTCTCCTGACCAGGCACAAGCTACCCTGGTCTATTTGCACTTGCAGAGCAGAAGGCCTCCGATCACATGACAGCCTAGACCATGAGCAGTTTCCACATAGACGTGAAATCTAACAGACTGAAAATGCGAAGTAATTAGAAAGGCTCTTACTATGGCGTTTCTTTGTGTTTGCTTTACCTTCCTCTTTGGAAACGCCCAGGCAGCCCATTAACTCTTGCACGGAGATGGATTTGTCGTTATTCACATCACAGTATTCAACAAACTTCTTCACGCACTTTTTGGGCTTGGACTTTTTCCGAAGGAATCTCTTGAAGGGTTTGATCTCCTTTTTGCCGATGTCCCCGCTGGAGTTTTTATCCAGCAGCTTGAAGTACCAGTGCACCACCCGCTCTTCCAGGGTATGGCTGGGGTCGGGCTCCGTGAGCCTAGAAGGAACACAATCCCGTCATGACAGGCAGGTGCAGGTGCTTGTCTCCCCTGACCCTGCCTGCCACCTCGCAAGTCCTGCCGTCCATGCCTGTGTGCCTTACCACTGGACAGACCCACTTTCAAACATAACTTTAAAAAAAGCAAGTTAGCAAAAGTGTTTCAAGGGGGTTCAGAACTGCAAATGCCATAGTGAAAGTGCACACACTTGTATCCTTGGATAATGCCTTAAGGAAAAAAGGCCCCTGTCCTGGGTCCTGGGCTCGCTGGGGCCACCAGTCTAAGTCAGTCACCACCAGCATCCAACAGTGGCTTTTGGAGCTGGGGCTTTCTACCCATTAAGTTTGATTATTTATGTATCATGCATGTAAGCTATGCATAAATATAAAAGGGAGGTTGGAGAAAACAAATCAAAAAGTTTAAAGTTGCATCTAGACAGTTTCCCTTAGATTAAAATAAATTTGACACTTTAGGAGCAAGGAAAAGTTCTAGGAGAAGGCCTGCTTTGAGTGAGACCTTGACACGGTGCTGTCTGGGACTTCTCCTTGCCCGAGGTGACAGATGTGCTCACATCCTTGCTGTCCAGTCCTGTGGGAGTTCCTGACCCCACTTACCACTGGTTCAGACAAGCTTTGCACTCGGGAGGGTGAGAGACCCCATGGGGAGCAGACACGACAGCCCATGGGGACGGGGGCTCTGTGACATATAGATTATTGTAAGCTTCTCAGCCAGCAATTCATGCACTGCTTGCAACTAAAGTTTTCAGGTAAGAGCCATCTTCCCAAGAATACAAGATGCAGAGTTAGAATTCAGGCGATTCTGCTTTTTGTGATTTAATTCATTTCCAGTTGTGACACTTCCCATTAGGACTGCATCTGTTTCCCCCAAGTCTTCTTTCAGCAAAGAGACAATGAGATGAGGGTCTCTGGTGAGAAAAAGGAAGTTTTAGACTGTCCACGGTAGATGGGACAATCAGGGTTTGGGGCAGGTGGAGAGGAAAGCCAATGTTTCAAGGAAGTAAGAATGTTAAAAATCTCCATCAGAAAAACATTCTTTAAAATACACATGAATGATTGCTAGGTTTTAGGGGGGACCTCTGATGTTTGAGGTGCCTTAGCCTTACACGGGGGCAGAGGGCTGCACAATTCCTGCTGGGTGACAGAGAGCTCCAGGCTCAGCAGGTCTGCTGTGTATACAAGAACGCAACTCTGGGGCTCAAACAGTGTCAGTGGATTAATGGCACTGAATTGTATGCCTAAAAGATGGGCAAGATGGTAATTTCATACATGGCGTATGTTACCATAATAGATAAACATTTTGAGAATTTTGAGTTGAACACTTTCATTCAGAGTATCTAGACTCCAACAGAGAAGTCTAAAGTGCATTTCTGAAGCACAAAGCCATCTGAAGGTGTTCTCCTTCCTTGGTCATCCCCATTACCCCAGAAGCCCGAGGGCATCAGGGCCTCCTCCCTGTGACAACACAGAAGGACCCACTGAGCAGCAGCATGGTTTGGAAGGCTTTCCTTCTTTCAGGCCCGATGCATCCAAGCAAGCTGCCTGGCCTCCCACATCCAACAGCAGACTGACTTTAACTCTCCAGATTTCCTCGAATTCCTGGGCTTCTTGCCAAAACACCGCTCTGCGCGAAATGCAGCGTACCTGCCAGATGAGGTGGATGGGTCAGATACAGCGTGGACCATGTCCGTGGACAGGGCGTCCAGGACACTCGTCAGAAACTCATGCTTTTTGGCTCCAGGACAACCTGCAAAAACAAAAAGTACATTTTTTCTTTGTTCACAGTATTCACAAAATAAAGTAGACTTTTCTCTTTAAAGGAAAGAAATGTTTTAGTATTTGGAAATCAGTAGGGCTACCTTAGTATTAATGAGCTAATTTGAACACTTACAGGCATATTTCAGTACTTGGCTATTGACTGTGAACGTAGTTACAAATCTAATACTGTTGAATTATTCTGTTAGGATCCTCAGGCGTCAGCACCTCGCTGATCTTCAAAGCAGGAACCGAAGGTAGTCTGGCCCCAGTCTTTTGCACTAAGCACCAGACTCTTGGAAACACTAATATCTTGTAGGTGGAATCCGCAGTGCTGGGGTCTAACCTAGGGAAACTGAGTCCAGAGGCGGGTCAGCCCCCGCCTCACTCCGCCTGGAGCCCAGCTCTGTGGCTTGTTTCCTTAGGAAGGGCCCAGAGGATCCTCAGGGCAGTTCAGTTTACCTGAAGCTCAACATTCCACAGCGTACTTCACATGCAAAGAGCCCCGTCCCCTCTCGCTCACTCCCGTTTGGGGTTTCCTGAACTCCTCTACCCCTCTGTGTCCAAGATATTCTCCCCACCCCACAATATGGCAGCCCAGTCATTCTGACCAACATGCTTGCATGGTTAAAGACATTCTGTTCTCATAACTTTCTTTTTGACGCTATTATTCAAGTCTATGATAGTTGCCTGTGGCAGGAATCCATTTAGGCCTGTTTCAACTTTATTAAACACACATATTGGAAAACAGATGTGAATTCTTAATGGGGGGTGGGGTGGAATTTGAGAGTGTTCGACCCCTTTGTGCACAACTAGAAAAGTGATTCCAAGCCATATTAAAGACCCACAGCCTTTGGGCAGTTGTCCCTCCCCAACAGGAACGTGATTTATCTTGAATATTCCCTGGGGAGGAAATGGAAGCCTGTTCTGTGGCCCTTCAGAAACACCAGAAGCTGTCCCTGCCAGGGACAACCAGAGACCACAGGGGCATGTGTGGGGGCTGATCACAGAGAACAGGAAGAAGTGGCAGGCAGGTCTGAAGGAGCCTCCAGAGTGCTGGCCCCGGAGCTAGCTGAGCAGGGAGAAGGGCGAGGAGAAGGCACTCTGGAAAGCTGGCAGGAAGCATAGCCCCGGGCGCTCCTGTGAACTCCCTGGCGTCCATCAGCCCAGCGATTCAGAGAGGCACAGAGGTAGATGAGACACGGTGTCAGAAAGGCTTGGATTTAGGTCATCTTCAGGACTGAGCAGCTTTAGAGAAGAACTGGCCTCATATGGCATGTGCTGAATGAGACTTAATGACACATCTGGGCTGCATGCTATTAATTCAATCCTCCGATGAGAGAGAGAAACACCGCACTTCTAGTTAGAAAGCAACACGGATTCATCTTGAACCAGGATGGCAGCATGTAAAACCTTACGGATCTTTAATGCCATAAAGATGATTCAACAGAGAACTGTGATCCACTTCTAAAACAAGAAATATCAACTCAATCCTGCCTAAGTATTTTTTTTAAATGGTGTGTAAGTTACATACTCGAAATACAAGGTTGCTTTACTAAGGTTATTTCACAGCTGAAAGGTACTTCAGTCCAAAATCAGAGAACTTTTAAAATTTCACTTACAAAGACATTGGGATTCGTTTTGAGTTAAAAAAAGGGGAAAGCTGACTTAGGCTCAGGAAACCCAGTGCCTTGGGCCTGGGATTAACTCGTAAGGTGTCTCTGTCTCTTGCTGTATGGACACACACATTTTGGGGTGAACAGCCAGAAAGGACACAGGTGACAGCAGTTGCCGAGGGGAGACTCTGGCCACAGGCTTCATTTGCTCAATGGATGTCCTCCCAGAACCCAGGGAAGCACAGAGATCTGGTGACCATCAATCCGGGCCCTACCCCAGGGTAGGAGTCCAAGCCCAGAGATGCCAGTCTCCTGATAGCCATCCTTTCTGGAACCTAGCTCATATTTTGATGCTTTAAAATTATGTCTTTTTATGTTTCAAAATGGTTATGTTCTGCAGTTTCTGTGAAATGCCCTATTTTAAGAAGCAGAAACGGTTTTGCATAAAAGCCATTAATTTCAGCTATTTTGCTTACATAGTTTCTTCCTTTACTTTTTTCTTTCAAACATGGATTGACCATGTTCACAATGACTCCCTCTATCATATCCCAGACCTCCTTCGGATCATCACATGAACTTAAGTTTCTCCCATGACCTGTGTACCTGGCCACTGAGAGGAAACTGCCACAGAGGATGCAGAGGCCACAGAGGTCACAGAGGACACAGAGGCCATAGAGGACGCAGAGGTCAAGAGCACCTCATCAAGAGGAAAGGCTGCTGACCACAGTGCATGAGGCTGGGGTTGAGCTGCCGGACGCCATGCGGTGTGGTCTAAGCCCTGCATATAGGAAGGCCTGGGGAACTGAGGGATGGAAACAGGATGAGGACCCAGCCCTGACCTTGAGATGGGAAATGCCACCTAGCTTTACATCTTTGTCTGCTGGTTTGACATTTATGATTTCAAATGCATAGGGAAGTAATGCAGGTGAGAAATGAATAAAAGGAGTACCTAATAAAAATCACACCCTTCCCTCATTGTTTTTGGGTTTCTTCTAGGATCTGAAAGTGTTCCTCCGTCATGATCAACTGCTCACCTAGTCAGAGTTCTAATTCCTCTGATCTGGAAGTCAAATAATTTCTGTCCTGTAATTAACTACATTGTCCCTCAGGGGGTGATGTTATTTGAGATAATAAATCCGGCGAAAATGCTTCCTACGAGTAATCATTTAATAGAGTTTATAAGTTGTGGGTTGTTTTCGTTGATGTTGATGAGTGGGTAGAATCAGGGCTGTCTCAGGAGGGCAACATCTAAATGGAGAAGATGTGACCTAAGAGGTGAAACCTGTCACCAGAAGGAGGACCCCAAGAGGGAAGGGAAGGGAACGAGTTACTCTGGATTCTGACCAGGAATGTGTCCAAGAGAGTCTCATATGGTCTCTCAGATTCCCTGAAGCAAGTAGAAACCAGGTTTCCACTGCCCTCTGCTCCCACCTGAAGTCCATGAAGCATGGTGGTTTCTAGACAGGGTCAGAACTTTAATGGAGAACCTCTCTAAAACCTATGCACTAGCCTGAACAAAAATTTAAAAAGCAAACAATAGCTGGGAATAGTGGCTCACACCTGTAATCTCAGCTATGCAGGAGGTGGAGGTAGGAAGATCACTTTCTACAGTCAGTCCAAGCAAAGTTAGTTCAAGATCCTATCTGAATGACAAACTAAAAGGAAAAATATGGTGGGTGTGACTCAAGAGATGGAGCACGTATTTAGTAAGATAAGCCTGAGTTCAATCCCCCAGTGCTGCCATAACAACAACAAAATAGCAGAAAGGAACCCATGTGAACTAAAAACTCTTCTTCCACTGTCAAATTCCCAAGGATCTGAATTCTAGCACAGCAAGGAAGGCATGTCCTCTTCCTATCAGAGTCCCCTTCCCACAGGTGTTAAACACATGTGCAGGCTAGTCTTTCTTCCACAGTTTTAAGAATTTATCATAGAAAACTTGAGAGTAGATTGGCTTTGTACCATTTCCCTAAGGTACTAAGAAGGCATTTTTAACTCAGGTGAAAGGACCAGAAAATGAGAGCTCTTGCTGCTTTCGGGGCTATGGGGAACGCTGCTTGAAGCTGCTTCTGTAGAAACCCGAGGAAAGGCACTGATATCTTTCTTTGCAATGGCCAAAGCCAGTGTTGCCAGAAGATCAACAAAATCCTAAGCTGGCTAGCTGTAGAACGCATGTTATACATCAAGATTTTACATCCATATATTTAATGGAAAATATTTCTAACTACATAAAGCAGCTAAGCAGTTGGTGATTTTCTTTCTAAATTACCTTTCCTTGAAAAGAGGTATTAAACATACAACAAAAGCTTGCTGTGCTCTTTGTGTGTTACTGAGTGCCTGCAAAGAGCTCCAGGGAGGAGTAGAATAGGAACTCTGATGCCAAGCAGACACCTTATGAAGAAGGTTCCAATGGCACACACCAAGGAAGGAGCTCTGTTTCCAGGCAGGAGAGGAGGGATAGGCTTGGGGGTACCCAATAATAACACATTTGTTTGAGTGATCACTGATAAAAACAACCAGACATAAAATTGCATTAATACTCATCCTTATTGCTTCAAAGTGCAACAATGTAGTAGGGAAAGGAAGAAATGTCTTCCTTCTCTGATACAGAGCACTAAAAATCAAAAATAAATGTAGAAAGAAGTCCGGAAGCAAACCCATCGGACGTGGGCTGGGGAACCACATTTTGCACTTTGGCTTTGTTGACATTTGCAGTTTTGATGAGTCTAAACTGTGGCATCGCTACCAGTTAGACAGGACTGTGACCTCACATTTCCATACCCAGCCAAAATATTCCTTCTGTCTGCACGATAAACTCCCATGTCACAAATGCTGCCATGCTCTTTTTCCAAATGTAGATTTTCCTAAAGCTTTCTTCAACAAGGATTCCTGCAGCCCTTGGGGTCTAGGGCACATCTCTAGGGTAACCTAGGGTGACAGTTACCAAGGGCAGAATCATAGCATCTATTTCACTGCAGGAAGCTCTATGCCTAGTGTTTGCGCACAGTTAACCAACACACAGCTTATACCCTGCCTGACACCTCCTTTGCCTGGCAAAACTGATGAGCACATTGAGAGAGCGAGAGGGGAGAGAGAGGAACATACATACAAATGATAAATACAGACAGAGACAGAGAGGAAAAGAGAAATTGAGGCCGGAGTCACAGACCAATTTGTGGAAAACTGAAGTTCAATCTTGCTTGAGAACTACAACCCAGCTGGGAAGGAGGACAGCGAGTTGCACCATGGGTGAATACGTTTTGAGAGCCAGGATGGGACTGGGCAGGACAGACCACGTCCTGCCCTCCTGGACACTGCTGTGGGCAGACGCCCACCTGGAGGCCACTGCCTGTGTCCAGGGAAGATGAGAGCCAGG